GTGAACATTGAAGTGCATATATCTTTCCAAATTAGGGTTTTTCTTTCCTTCTGGTAAATACCCAGGAGTGAAATTGCTGGATCATATGGCAGTTATATTTTTAATGTTTTGGAAAACATCCAGACTGTTTTCCATAGTGGCTGCACCAGTTTCCAATCCCATCAACAGTGCACAAGGGTCCCCTTTTCTCAATATCCTCGCCAACACTTATTATGTGTTGTCCTTTTAATAATAGCCATTCTGACAGATGTAAGGTGGTGTCTAATTGTGTTTTTCAACTGCATTTCCCTGATGATTAATGGTGTTGAAGATCTTTTCATGTGTCTGTTAGCCATCTATATATTTTCATTAGAAAAATGTCTATTCATATCCTCTGCCCATTTTTAATCAGGTTGTTTTTTTTATTGACGTTAAGTTGTATATGTCCTTTGTATATTTTGCATTTTTTCCCCTGTTGAATATATTGTTTGCAAGTATTTTCTCCCCTTCAGCAGATGGCCTTTTCATTTTGTTGATAGTTTCCTTCACTGTGCAAAAGCTTTTTAGGTTGATGTAGTCCCATTTGTTTATTTTTGCTTTTGTTTCCCTTGCCTGAGGAGACGGATCCAAAAAAAATATTGCTGTGTCAAAGAGCATACTGCTTATGTTTTCTTCTAGGAGTTTTATTGTTTCAGGTCTTACACTTAAGTCTATAATCCATTTTAAGTTTATTTTTGTATATAGTGTGAGGAAATAGTTGTTTCATTCTTTTACATATAGCTGTGTAGTTCTCCCAACCATTTATTAAAGAGACTGTGTTTTCCCCATTGTAATATTCTTGCATTTTTTTGTCATAGATTAGTTGATCATGTAAGTGGGGCCTCTTAAACTATCCTCTTTTTTTTTTTTTTTTTGCGGTATGTGGGCCTCTCACTGTTGTGGCCTCTCCCGTTGTGGGGCACAGGCTCCAGACGTGCATGCCCAGCAGCATGTGGGATCTTCCCAGACCGGGACACGAACCCGTGTTCCCTGCATCGGCAGGCGGACTCTCAACCAGTGCGCCACCAAGGAAGCCCTATCCTCATTTTTTAAAATTCTTTTTTCTGTTTAGCTTGGGTGATTTCCACTGCTCTTGGTTCCAGTTCACAGATCCATTCCTCTGTATCATCTAATCTACTGTTGATTCTTTCTATTGTATATTTTATTTCAGTTATTGTATACTTCAGCTCTGTTTGGTTCTTCTTTATGTTTTCTAAGCCTTTGTTAAAATTCTCACTGTGTTGATGTGTCCTTCTCCTGAGTTTGCTGAGCATCTTTATGATCATTACTTTGAACTCTTATTGGATAGATTCCTTATCTCCACTTCAGTTAGTTCTTTTTCTGAGGTTTTGGCTCGTTCTTTTGTTTGGCATATATTCCTCTGTCTCCTCATTTTACCTAATTCTCTGTGTTTATTTCTACATATTAGGTAGATCAGCTATAGTTCTGGATATTAGAGAAGTGATCTTATGCAGGAGATGTCCTAGGGGGCCCAGCAGCACACTCTCCTCTGATCACCAGGCTGTATGCTCTAAGGGTGCCCCCTCTGTGGGCTGTGTGGGCCCTTCTGTTTTGGTGGGGCTGACTACTGTGGACACATTGGTAGGTGGCTGGCCCCTGGCCCAGTTGGCTGGCTGCTGGCCCCCTGGTAGGTGGGGCCTGGTCCCAGGGCAGCTGGTTGTGGGGCGGGGAGTGGCAGTTCAAATTCTTGAGGGGCTGCTGGCTCCTACAAGTATTTCATAGTTCTTGATGCTTTGTTTATTGAGCAATTGAGCATTACATGACTGGTGCATTATTCTTCTAGTGGAATCAGAACTTAAACGCACCTAAACATTGATGCAATGAGCTCCTGGGTTCTTGCCCAGCTTGTTTCATGTAGACATGTGGGCAGTGTTGGTGCTTGCACCTACCCCTATTTACTGCATTTCTGTGCATTGCTGGATATCAGGAGCACCTTGACCTCTGCAGAGGAGGGCTTGGCAGATGGAGAGGGTTGAGTCGTGGCCATGTTCCTACTCTCACTCCAGCAGCCAGCAAATCTCAGCTACCTCTCACTGACAATGCACTATGATCCCCTGCAGAAGCTCATGGCCACCATAGCTGCAACCCTGTCTTCCCTCATCCTTTCCCCAGTTGACCACGTGTGTCTTGAGCTGCTAAGTCCAGAGCCTGGGCAGGACCTGTGCACGGCTGGCTGGCAGCGCAGTGCTGGCAGCGGCTCAGTCATCCCTAGCTCTGCTTTGCCAACCCAGCTTCTTGTTTCTCCAATAATTTGGAACATACAAGTTAATAACTTCTGAATATTAAACAGGATATGACTGCAAGAGATTTTCAGGGCAAGGTGATAGTACGGAACTAGCTAGGACAAGTTTTTCACATTAAATATAACAATGTAACAACATGAATGAAAAGTAAAATTATACGTATATATGTATACCAACTGGCCAAATGGGTGGGTCAACACTACATCCTATATTGTGAGGTATGTATGACTCCTTAAGTTTCATACTATGGATTTCTGTCATCATTTCTTAAATTTGAATTTATTCAGTCCTTAAACTCTCTTTTGCTCTCTGTTCTTTTTTTCCTGGCTAATGTTATAACTTTTCCCATATATTACTTAGTAATTGTTCTTAGCCTTAAGTTTTGGGAGAAAGATTCTCTGATACCATTTCTTTCATTCATTTTTATTGGATGTCTCTTCTTTGTTATAATCAGCCATTTGGGGATCCACAAATGTTTGTGATTCTCATTAAGCCAATGCTCTTAACCTTAGAACAATTCTAAAACTAGTCAGGAAATAATGCAAGCAATAATATTTAAAAGCTGAAAGGAATTCTTGACCTTGGTTTGCTACCTCAACCAGAAGTATTAAATGAGTTTTAAAGTAGCTGTAGTAAAACAAGTGTAGCAATGAGTAAAGTTCAGTAATAATATTAATAAAGCAAAGAAAATCTCAAAAATAGTTGTATTATCAGAATTAATTAGATTTATGCTAAAGATGTACCTATTGTTAATAAGGAAAGAAATAATATTTCAATAAAATGTTCTAGAAAAATTGTCTTGAACTCTAACAGAAAGCAATTTAGATTCTCATAGATCAAAAAAGGAAAAAAACTGCTAATGAAATACTGAATTAAATGTAAAAACGGGTGGACAAGAAAGGGCACTGAATACATGTAAACTCAAAAGAGGAATGAATGTGACTAGGGAGAGCCTTGGTTCTATGTCCTAAACAGCCCTTGGAGAAATATACAAGGAATTGTCCAGGTCTTTGTACACAGGAAAAATTAAAAACAAGTGTCCATCAAAAGCATATGACTATAATTTATAGAAAATGTATGTGTCAATGATTAGAGATATAAAATGATAAATAATGTAAATTACCAATATAAAATTAAAGGAAGTGGCAGATAAAACAAAATGAAGCTTGATTGTAAAAGTTGCTTGAAAAAAGAAATTAGCAAGCAAATGAGTTACAATTGAAATTCACTACAAAGTGATACGAATTAGAACAATGCTAAATTAATTTTTAGCTAAATAAGCAATGTATTAAATATCTAAGCAATTGTTTAAATCAAATAAGTTAGATATTAAAAATGTTCTTCTGTTTTGTGGCAATTCTTTGAAAATGATTCTCAAAAAACATGAAGAAAAATGTGCATGGGCATGTTAAGCCACAGTCTCCTCCGTGTACCATCTTATTTCACTTCTCCACTTCACAAACAAAATTGTGAAGGTAATTGTCTATACACAATGCCCCTAATTCTCTTTCTTGTGTTTGCTTTTCAACCTGCTCCCATCGAGTTTCGGTCTCATTAATTCTACTAAACCAGATCCTGCTAAGGTCACAGTAGCCTTTGTTTACAGGTCCGCTGGGATAGTTCAGTCCTCACCTGCCCTACAAGCACCCCTCCTTCTTTTAAACACACTTCTTCCCTTCAGTTTTCTCTCCCCTGTTCATCCTTGTGTCCTTCTAACTGCACTGCCACTCTGCCTTAGTGCCTGTTGCAGACTCTCCTCTGTTCAACCTTTAATGCTGAGGGTCTGCAGGATTAGGTTTAGGTCCTCTTCTCATTGTCCATTCTATTTATAAGTGACCACATCCATCCCCATGCCCTCATTACCAGATACACAATAACTTCAAATAATACCTCCCCCTTGGCATTTTTTTTTTTGATTCAAGACCCATATTTCCAGCTGTCAATAAGACTCTGCACTTATATGTCTTCCAGGCAGCTTAGAAAGGATATACTGTATAATATTATTTTTCCTTTCCAGCATCATTTGTACCTAAAACTTCCAGTGTGAGAAAATTATTTTCCTTTACCTCTCTTTGCAGTGTTTAATATACTTGAAATAAAATAAACAATAATACTGTTTTATGTCCTCTTCCCTGTAAGACTGAGAGTTTCAACACAGTAAAAACTGCATGTGCTTTATTTTCTTGTATTTCTTGATAGCAATTACACACACTCTGTCATTTAGGTACTCAATTTATATGTATAATCTGAATGGAATGAAGAGTAAATGTTACCATCCATTCTTCAATATCATTTACCAAATGAGTGTTTGAATTTAGAGTAAACAAACTCAAATTTTCCTTGTTAAGAATTTAATAAATAAAACAAAGTGCAAACTTAATAACATGAAATGAAAAACATGTTTTAAAAATTTTAATACAATGTACAGATGAAATGTAATTTTATAAATAATTTCTAAACATTATAAATATGAGAGATGCAAGAAGGAATAGATAAATAAACAAACAAACAATAAATAAATAACATCAGGGCAGTCATCGCTTAGGGACTGATGACCCCTGTAGCTGAATACTTTTATATATACTTGCTTATTACTACTGACAAGTAATGGCTGAATTAATGCAATAAATTTTGTGGCTAAAGCAGAAATAAGTCTTTTGAAATGACCAAAGATGAATGTGCAAGGGTGATGTGGCATCTTAGTCAATGAGAATCATTTCAAGGTGATCCCAGGTCTCCATTCATAATTCTTAACCTTTCTTGCAAGTTGGTTGATGAAGACAGGGATCTCATGATTTCCACTCTGACAATTTCCCAGGCACAGTCACTATATTTCTTCTCTTTCAGGTAGAGATGGATTCCCTGGAAGTACCTTTTCACGGCCAGTATAGGGCCCGTCACTCCCAGGGTAGTTTCTTCATCTCCCATCGCCTGCACTAAGCAGGCGTCCAGGTCCTCCAGCTGCTGATGGAGTCCAGTGCGGAGTTTGTCCAGGAGGGAGGTGTCCCAGGCGGCAGAGGAGCGCTCTGTGTGGAAGAGGCGGAAGACCTGCTGGAGCATCTCGTGGAGGACAGAGGTGGCCTGGGCCTTCAGGAGCTGGCTGCCATCTACCACGTCCTGGGGGAAACCGAAGTCTTTTCTGTCCTTCAGACAGAAGCGAGGGGAGATTCTCCGCATCTGGCCCAGAAGCATGAAGTTCTTCTTGCTAATCCGCACGTGGTTCTGAGACAGGTCGCAGCCCAGAGATCCACCAGGGCCGTAGCTGAACACCACCAGGGCGGTCAGTAGAGAGAGCACGAAGGCCATGGGGCAAATGAGGCTGCTGCTGGCCTGGCTGAGACGGTCGTCTGGGGGAACCTTGGGGGTAGGTTCTCTGATAACATCCTTTCTAAGTATGGCTTTAAAATAGGGAAGACAGTTTCCATTTTCTGAAAATTTCTCTCTACTTTCACTTCCAATTTGTGTTTTCATTTAGATATTTTCTTTTGACCTAAGAAGATATAATCAGTCTAAACTCTTAATTTACAATAGAAGTTTAAGTCTCCCAGTAAACTTTGGATGTGTCCATCCAAAAGGATATCAATTAAATGAGAAACTAATTAAAGGCTGAAGTATATGTAGGTATGTAAAGATTCATGCACATACTTAGGTACACATTTTATTATTTTTTTCTTTGTACCATTTATTTATTTTTGTCTGTGTTGGGTCTTCGTTGCTGCACGTGGGCTTTCTCTAGTTGAAGCGAGAGGTGGCTACTCTTCGTTGCAGTATACGGGCTTCTCACTGCGGTAGCTTCTCTTGTTGCAGAGCACGGGCTCTAGGCATGTGGGCTTCAGTAGTTGTGGCATGCTGGCTCAGTAGTTGTGGCTCGTGGGCTTAGTTGCTCCGCGGCATGTGGGATCTTCCCGGACCAGGGCTTGAACCCGTGTCCCCTGCATTGGCAGGCGGGTTCTTAACCACTGTGTCACCAGGGAAGTCCCTGTACACATTTCAGTATGTATAAATATTGCTCTTCTCTGTGTTAGGAACAAAATTTGTCCTTGACTCTGGACTACATTTTTACCATCCTTACTTTATACATAGGAAATTGGGGTCCCTCACCCCTATAGGTTTCTGTATTTTGTTAAGTAATTACCAGACCATGCATGGGAAATAAGCTGTTTAGAACCAAAGACTGGTTTTGTTTTCTGTTTAATTCAGAGCAGAGGCTTATGATTACTAGTGAACAAGCTTCTCAGGTGTTTCTCTTCTTTCTAGAATGCATTCATTCAAGTTCCTGAGGTTATTCTTCACTGGGGCCACAAGGTCAGGACTAATATACTAGACATCACCCTTTCTTTCCACCATTTTCTTACAGGAGACCTATAGTGCTCCACAGGCTGGGCCCATACCCTCAGCAGGAGTCCTAGTTCTTTTCTGGTGAATGTAGGTATGCAGATTCTAATTCCAAGATAATTGTATTTTCCAGCACCACCTCACTCACAAGGTAGTTATCACATCTAGTAGCACTTTCCTGGAATGACAGAGTATCCTCAACCCAAACTCTCTGGGGCTCACTCCCTGAGGGCAGGCTCACCACATCCAGAGGAGTTCAGAATTCTACTGTGGAGGGGCTTGTTTCTTTGTTTGCAAAATAATTCATCTTCCAGGACCCGCACCCTTGTCCCCGGAATGTTCGTGTGAAGGACCCTCATTCTCAGTGGGGACCTCCTCCTCTCCTTACCTGTGTCCCCAGGTATCAAAAGTATGAGCAGCCTGCAGATGCTGAGAGCAAAAGTTTATTTTGTCTAAGTAGGTGGAGGAATTATTCAATTGCAATTGTTTCACCTTTAGTAGACAATTTTTATTTTGCCAGTACAGCTTTTATTGTTCAACTCTTTTAAACTGTTGAACTTTGTTACGCTCAGAATTTCTGAGTTGGCTATAGGGAATCCAGTGATGATGCTGTCTCTCATTAGAAGTTTATGTCACAGAAACTAGCGACCTTCATTTGTTCATTCAGTCTACGTATTTCTACTGGGCTTATTTGTTTGTTCATCTCTGCCTCGTGCTCAGAATGCAGAGCAGTGAGACCCAGAATATGTCAGAGAGAAATAGCCTGGTTTCCTTTACTTATTCACGATGTTTTGTTTTAAATTTAAATAACAACCAAAAAAATTTAGGAAATTATTTTTTACATAGTGATTTACTGGCCATAGTTACTTTCCATTTCATCCTGAGGTTAATAAAATGGGAAGTAAAAGAATGGCAAAGGGGTTTCACCTTATTTTCTATGATTTTCAAGACTTGAGATTTTTTTGTTTCTCATTTCAACTTTCCTAGAAAGCAAAACTTGAGAGCTGTTTGTGGGCAAAAATAAAACAAAGGTAATTCTGAATGTCATGAAAGTGAAAAAAGAGAAGTGACGTTTCTGCTGACAAAATGGCAAAGTGTAAGTTAAACCTAAAAAAGGCATCAATCAAAGAATAGAAGGAATCATCGTATTTGAAAGATGTTAAGCAGCCACAAAGACAGAGCCAAGTGAGTCCAAAAAATGTCCATGTTGTCCTGCCCTGAAATGGGCTCCCAAAGTGGTGAAGGAAGATAGAAAGACAAAGGACAAAAATTATTTAACATGTAAATTAGAGAGCCCTCTCATCGGTCAATTGGTTATGAAGTCTGTAACCTAAAGCAGAGATTTGAGAGATCTAGGCTAAATTGAAGCCCTTCCCTGCTACCTGAGCAATTCACACACACACACACACACACACACACACACACACACACACACACATGCATGCACACATGCACACTTCCTGGTTAACTTTGCCAATTACAATATTGGATTACCTTAATAGTTCTCAATTCTACCCAAATAGACATACCCCAGGCTGTCAGTTGGCAACAATTGTATTCTCTGAAATTCCTTTATGTATGTCTGTGTTCACTCTTACTACTGAGTCAATGTGGAAGGGATGCAAGTGCAGTCATTATTCAAAGGGACATTGAGAATTTTCTCCCAACTGTAAAGTCAAGCAACATGATCTCATACTGGGAATGAATTTGAAAAACTGACAACATACTCTTAAGAAAGAGTTAATGCACCTTCAAACAGGAGCTATTTCCTCTGATTCCCCTTGCATTTCCACACCCAGAATGGCAGGCTCTAAGCCTCCAAGAGTCCTACTCTATGTAAAGCGAATAATGATTCAGGAGGCTTGGCCAGCTGAGCAGCCTGGAGGCAAGGAACACATTCTGACCCTTCTCTCCACACAGCTGCCTTAGCCCAAAGACATGTCCTGCCTGAAGCTGGGAGTATTTTCCCTCTCTAAGATGCAAAGCTAAGGAACCAGGCTTGGCCAAGTTATTGGTGTCAGTTCTTTCCAGGAAAGATCCTCTTTTAGCTCCGAAGAAAATGCTAGTGGAAAAAGAGACTTCTGCCTAGAACAGAAAGAATCCTGCCCTGCAGACTTGGTCAATGTCCTAGCCCATCTTGGCCAGTAAGTGGCACTCTTCCTCCATAAGTGTTTTAATAGCCTCCAGAGTAAAATGGATCCTGCTTTCCAGTTCATTTTTGCTACAGCTACTGTTACAATATTGTAACAAGGACATCCCCTCATTCCCAAAAATATTCATCAGAAGAAAAACAATAACCTCTTATATAGGAGTTTCTGTAAAGTCCAGAACTTTCACTCAACTTTTGCTTTTAATTTGTGGCTTTGTACTCTTAAGGGGAAATTGGTGGCCAGAACCACAAAGGAACAGGAAACAGCTGTATGAATGGCTGGTGCAGGTGAAAGAGGAGTGAATGAGGGGAGCATACTTCGAATTTGTACATTGGAGAGGAAGTACAGGCATACTTTGCTTTGTCGCACTTCACAGATAATTGCACTTTTTACTAATTGATGGTTTATGACAACCCTACGTCAAACAAGTCTACCGGTGACATTTTCTAACAGCTTTTGCATACTCCATGTCTCTGTGTCACATCACCTTAATTTTCAGGATTGTTCAAACCTTCACCGGCAAAAAAATTCTGACTTGCTGAAGGCCCAGATGACCATTAGTAGTTTATAGCAATAAAGTATTTTTTAAATTAACGTATGTATGTATGTGTGGTCAGGCCACTCAAGATGGCTGCTCTCTTGCTCTCTGTACATCCCCTGCCCCACCAGTGCCTGCTTCTTCACCTACACCCTATGCACATGACTGACCTTCTTATGTACTTGCACCAGGCCCCAGCTAGTTAGTTATCATATCAAAGGGGCGGTGAGGGGCGTGCCCCTCTACTGGTTTCCCTGGTAACTAATGAGCCCACCTGATGTCAGTTCCCCTAGAACTGGCAATCTTCCCTTTGTTAGGGGAACCACTGACCAAAACTGCCCACCCTGGCCAGGCAAGATAGTAGCCACTTGCATGAGTTATCTTACAACAGCAGGTCCTGGTAAGGAACGTGGAACTAACAAGCTACCACCAACCAGAAGATTTCCGGAAAGGTCAAAAAGAGAGAGGAAACGCCAGTCCATATGTCCTACCGACCTCCCAGAATCCTTCTTACTGGAATCCATCTTGGCTGAATGATGGGCGCGCCACCAGGAAGGACCCTGAGTCAGAATGATTGCTCAGAGACAACCTGGAAACTAACCCCGTTACCAGAAAACCTGAGACTGTGAGCCACATGGCAGTTCTCCTGGGTTCCTTTACCCTGCTGCTCTCCTTCCGAGCACCCCTATGAGTTATCACAGCAGGTCCTGGTAAGGAACGTGGAACTAACAAGCTACCACCAACCAGAAGATTTCCGGAAAGGTCAAAAAGAGAGAGGAAACGCCAGTCCATATGTCCTACCGACCTCCCAGAATCCTTCTTACTGGAATCCATCTTGGCTGAATGATGGGCGCGCCACCAGGAAGGACCCTGAGTCAGAATGATTGCTCAGAGACAACCTGGAAACTAACCCCGTTACCAGAAAACCTGAGACTGTGAGCCACATGGCAGTTCTCCTGGGTTCCTTTACCCTGCTGCTCTCCTTCCGAGCACCCCTCCCCAATAAAGTCTCTTGCTTTGTCAGCACGTGTGTCTCCTTGGACAATTCACTTACAAGTGTTAGATAAGAGCCCACTCTCAGGCCCTGGAAGGGGTCCCCCTTCCTGCAACACCTCCCTCCCCAGGATCGAAGACTGCCACCAAGTCTGGCCCACTGCGCACCGCACACGGTGGGGTGTCACTCCAGGACCTTGCTTCAGACGTGTAAGCTCCCCCGTCCATTAAATCATTGATGTCTCTGTTGCTGACTCTGGGGTCTTCAGTCTTGAAGCTGGGCAAGCACA